CGTAGGCAAGCCGCAGCATCAACACATCATTTTTTGAAAACAACATGTCTAGATTGGCTACGTTGTCAAAGATGTGAGGCTGTCTATCTCTCGTCTTAGATTGAATGCTGATGACAATCGTCCAGATTTACAGTGTCTTCCTATACAAACAACATCAACAATCACACACACATATATATATATATAAGCTACGAGTACATATATATATATATTATATCTGTGCATCCGTAAGCACATGGCAGTTGGTAAAATCGATCCAAATTCAAAAGAGCTGCCGCACGCTGCAAGAACTTTGCGGTACGCGCAGTGTCCCATGGCATTGCTGGGAGCTGGCACTGCAAAGTCACGGACGGCCAGCGCCAGAGTGGCACACGTGAGCACACGTGGTAAGGGATGACCTCGGTGGTTTCAGCGGTGTGTTTCCAACATTGTTGACGATCTAAAGGAGGGAGAAACACTATATCATGTGAAAACAATGCTTGGTGTTGGTGTTGTTGATGTTGTGGGTATCTGGTTCAGTGTGCTTTCTTCCATACACAATTACTTGCAGTACTGGGGAATCCGCCAAAGTTCTAGTGATCTTCCCCACACTGCCACACTGCCATATATAAGGCGAAGCGAGGCAAGGACTGGCAGCTTGCAGTTTCTGTATTCTAGTATCAAACCTGGGCCTAGAGTAGACTCCCCGGCCATGTTCCAACCTCGAAAAGCGTCCCGGTCACTTGGATAGTCCTTCGATCTGAAGGAGGGCGCGCAAGAATCTTCTCTACCAGAGGACCCACAAACCATCAAAGACATGGTTAACCGTACTGTGGGTGTGCTTTCGTGCTCTAGAGCCCGATCTTCTAACAGTAGATACCTTGCGAGCCTTCATGTTATCCCGCAGCTTGTACATACATATATATATATTGTATAATAATATAACATAGCATGTTTGCTTGTTAGTGTGGTACACTTCCAGCCTGGCTGTGCAGTGTGTGCTCATTTTTGTCACGAGCTACTGGGTCGCAACCGTTCTGGAACAAAAGTTGCCATTTGCAGTCTAGCAGCGGCTTTTGCGACATTGGACCTGTGACCAACTTCATTCTTCCACACCTTCTTACCCACAAACAATTTGCCCTGAATAAGCGAGTCACACAATGTGGCACAGTGTTGTGTTTGGCAGTGGGGAGCCGCGGTAGTCGTTGGCAGATGCTCAGTGCTCTGCGCAGCATGTTGAGTGGAGAATTTGCAGCTGTGGTTGCAAGAAAATAGACATGAGCTGACCCAATGACAGTGTGTTGCATGGTGGAAGGCCCAAAATGTGAATGGAGGCTTGACTTCAGCAGGGGTAAGAAGGCGGTGCCTGCGTGTTGCTTGTCCAATGTTGCAGTAGCCTCTTCCAGCTAGCGCAGATCAGCGGGTTGGAGAAAAAAGGTCACCGCATCGAGTTTCGACTTGGAAGAACCCCATGTTTTCGGGAGACCCACCTTGGACAGTTTCTGCGTTCCTGGTTCTTCAAAGAAACACACCAACAAACCTTAACTCGTCCCAGCATTTGCCCCAACGTGGGGTCCCAAACTTAATTAATGGGTTCTGAGGACTTTGTGAACGGGGGGTCGTGCGCCACAACGGCCCGTCTGGAACCCTCAAAAAGGTTCCACCTGTTTTTATCCATGATATTCCACCTCAGAACCCACCTCGATTTGAGGCGCCCCGCGCATAAGATGGATCCACACCTGTAACTTGCGTCACAGGCTGTCACAGGCTGTCCCGCTGTAAGGTGACATCAGGAGGATATATAGAGAGACACACTGTACATATAATATACAATTAGTTATATATATATAATCATATAATATGCATACGCATGTTCCAAATGGGGCAACTAAGTATCCATGTCAAGAGTTCAACATCATTCACGTCCTTACTGGAAATTATTGTGCTTGCGGATGTTAAGACAAAACAAGCAAGTGTAGAGCTTAAATCCTCGGTTACTTGCAACAAGAGTATCTCAATCAAGTGTTTGTGTTGTCTCTAGAATGCTTTCCAAATTGCTTATCTCGCTTGTCTGCCGACAATTCACATTCTGGAAGGTCAATTTGAATTGCATTCTTTGTGATTGCAACTACTGCTAATGCTAACACACAAAGCCGGCAGTTACCACCCAGAAGGAAAGGTTGATGATCCGGAACGCTACTGTACTTCCCCCGACCTTTGCGCGCCTGAGGTGCTTGTGATTGCCAAACAAAGGTCTACTTGGCAACAGGGTTTGAGCCAAAAGCCTTCCACATGACTGTGTATTCGGACAACAGGAAGTTCCAAAACCAAATTTCATCCATGTCCAGCTAGCTTCACTTCTTTGTTGCTTGATCTTGGGCGTTGGACTCTCAAGGCAAACTCTTGAAGTTTCTTCTGGGAGCAAACATGACAGTTTGCACATGGGTCCTCACGGAACCCCACACTCTACATCGCCCCGAACGCAACTGTTCTTTTCAGGTCATGTCATGACGGCCAACCTCTGAAAGACAAGGTGCTAAAATAACATCTAGATCAAAAGGCACTCCCAAATATATGAGGCTTCAAGACATGATTGCGGGATCCATTTCACCATCGCCGTCTTCTTTTGGCGGGTCCCCAAACCGCATCCCGTCGAACGAACTTCTGATAGTTTCAGTTCCTGCTGGATATCTCCACACCTAGGATGGGGAAAACCGTCCTTCGTTGCAAACACTTCCTTTGTTCTGGGATGGAGCTCCAACTTTCATCACACGGGCAGCTTTCTGTATGCAACAAAAACATGTTTCTTGGGAATAAAAGACCAGCTAAGCTACTCGACCCTGAACACTTCCACAGGCTTGACTGCATGAAAAACATTGGAAAAGTGAGGCTGTTGTTGGATTCCCCCAAAAAGGGACTCGGCGTCACCTTCGTCACGTAGATGCAAATTCCGTCTACGCTGCCGTCGGAAGGGTACCGGCCGGACTTGAGGTGTCTGTGCAATCGCCAAATCAAAATGCGCTGTTGCCATTGACTGGTCAGGCTTCAGCAAGGCTTCTGCTGCAAATTGACGTGTGCCGCTTCACCCTGTCCCATGTTGACATTTTGACTTTATTTCCAGAACACGTGCGGACCACAAAAATCCAAGGGAACCTCAACATTATGCTCATGATCTCCGGTTCCTCGGCCAGCAAATCCAATGTCGCGTCACAAGCTTGGTAGGACACATGGAAGAAAACCACCCAATCTTGTACAATGGATGTGTATCTCTATAGGGAGACCCAAAACCAATGGGTTTGGGCTTAGTAGGAGGTCTCCCTATTTTGACCTTTTCAACTTTGAAGATGTTTGAAGCCCTCAGTCCAAGGCTTGAGCACATCGGAAAAACTGAAATCTCCGAAGCCCAGCGCCGCCCGGTGCGGGTTGATCTTCAAGCAACAGGCTGGAAAGGCCGTGTTCAACACAAAAGTTGAAAAAACACAAGTTGAAGAAACACTTCTCACTGTCTGTTTCGACACTTCTCACGTTCTTTGTAGCGACAGAAAACCCTTTAGGCTTCCTGCTCCCCTTTATTGAAAGCTCTTGGAGATGGAATTTCAATGTTAGAAAAGTGCACGATAGTGCACGAGTGACTGCGCTAGCCTCACCTTCCCGCTTGCAAGCACGTCATGTGATACATGCTCAGTTTAACATGCAAAGCTGGGATTGCGAGTGAATAAGGATGCAGTATGTCTACATAAATACAGGTATATGCACATACAGTCACATACATAGTCACTACGCATCTATGGTCAAAGAAGGATCCACCATCCACCCACCGGCACAATCTGGAACTAGTTAAAAAAATGTCAAATTCAACATCTCCTGGGCTGGAAGAAAAAATCATCCGATTTCATCTTGGCACAATTCTTAGGGTGATGGATCAAACATCAGTGAACAAAATTTGTCCAAAGATACGCCGGAGAGTGACGGTTTTGGTTTGTGGGAAGGCTTGGGTTTTGCATCACTCACCACGTGCAACACACGTCTCACGTGGCATGCGTCTCACCGGCAAAATATCTGGCCAACGCAAGGAACTTTGTGTATTAACAGTGTGATATAACTTGCTTGGATAACATAGATATTCGATTAAGTAATATATATATATGTCACACTATCGATATATATATATATATATATTATGATATATACATAGACAATCATAGAAATATGATGGATGGGTTCTACAGGCGAGGCAATCGCCACTAGGAGGCCACCGCTCTTAGGTTGGAGACCATCTCTAGAGTCGGTCTGGAGGCCATCGCTAGTAGGTTGGAGGCCATCGCTCTTAGGATCGAGGCCATCTTTAGTAGGCTGGAGGCCATCGCTAGTAGGTTCGAGGCCATCGCTATTAGGTTGGAGGCCATCTCTAGTAGGCCATGGCTCTTAGGTTGGAGGACATCTCTAGTTAGTAGGCGGGAGGCCATCGCTAGTAGGTTAGAGGCCATCGCTCTTAGGTTGGAGGCCATCTCTAGTAGGCTGGAGACCATCGCTAGTAGGTTGGAGTCCATCTCTAGTAGCTAGTTTGGTTGGAGGCCATCTCTAGCAAGCTGGAGGCCATCGCTAGTAGGTTGGAGGCCATATGGCTCTTAGGTTGGAGACCATCTCTAGTAGGCTGGAGGCCATCGCTAGTAGGTTGGAGGCCATCTCTAGTAGGTTGGAGGCCATCTCTAGTAGCTAGTAGGTTGGAGGCCATTCGTCCCTGTTGTTTGTGGCACCTACTTTCACAGTCTAACATGCAACATGGTCACTATGATGTGACAGGTCTGTAGCTTCCAATTCTTGAAACTACGACAAATACCATACCGAATCGGAGAACCCCAAACGAGTGAAAAATCCACCAGTGGTAGCCCCTTACGGTCCGGCCCTAATTGCATCTAGAAACGAAAACTTTGGAACCTGCTGCATGGGCTTGTTGGGAAACCAAACCAAGAGGCCCTGTATGAATCCTGAATCCAGGCTTCTATCAACACAGTTTGCCTACAGTGAGCCACCTTTCAGAAACTGCCGTTTGTAGAAAATCCATCGAACATCCGCGCTTGGGATATTTCGGACACGAAGTGGGGCCCTTGCCACTGCTTAAAGGAACACGTTCTACTGGACACGCTTCGACATTTGGACACGCTTCCTCTGTCCACCCCGGGCACCGGTGCCTCAAACCATCACCGGTTCCGCCGGCGAGGGTTCCGAAGCTCCTGGCGCTGACCGCTCCGGAGCTTCGACGGGAGAGGTGGATGTATCGGTCCCTGCGGCTCCGTTGGAAGCAGATCTCCAACACATCACTTTCTTCCCAAGAAGGCAAAGAGTACCCACTCCATGGGACTGGCACCTAGAGTCAACCCCTTTTTAACCTAAATATTCCAGTCCCATGGAGTATCCGAGACGGCATGGTCGTCTCCGAGACATCCCAGGTCGACGTCCAAACGCACCGGTCGCGACGTAATGGACGGACCGGTCCGAGCGAACATGGGACCGGTCGTTTTTCGCTTTTGGGAACGGTCAGCGACCCTCCGATGGGTCGAGCAAACAACTCATCCAACCAAACATGTGGCCCAGAATCATCAAGTGAAACGGGCCGACCGAACTGCGGAATGAATTCCAACTGCTGTTGGCACGCAACTTTCCAGGTACTGTCTGTATAGGATCAACAACTGTGGTTCTGTTGCAGGCATCTCAAGCACACGATGAGTACTTTAATTCGGAGGATTATGATATATGGGTGTTGATCTAAATTCCTTTATCCGGGATGCATCATCTTAGCCAAACAAAATTTACTTTAGCCAAACTTTCGCCTTCCTGCGATTCATCTTTCGCCGAAGTATGTTGTATTTATGTGTGCCATGTATGTTGTATGATGGATATCAATTTTGTTCATGTCAATGGTTTCTTCCTTACTGGCAAAGACAAAATATAAATTTCACCGTTTGTCACCCTGTACGTCTCTTGTGTTTCTCCTGGGTGTCAGCAAGAATCAAAATTGCAAGAATCACCGTAGTAGCCGGTCAATCAGACTTACTCACAATGGGCTGGGGGTCAGATGTGGCAGGGTGAACTTTCGCCAAATTTTTGCCTTTTGCGGGGTAGAGTTTTGTGGCAAAGCCACCCCCCCAAAGCAGGAGCAGGAGCAGGAGCAGGAATAGTAGTAGTAGTAGTAGCAGTAGTAGTAGTAGTAGTAGTAGTAGGTAGTAGTAGTAGTAGTAGTAGTAGTGGTAGTAGTAGTAGTGGTGGTAGTGGTAGTGGTGGTGGTAGTGGTAGTGGTAGTAGTAGTCGTAGTAGTAGTTGTAGTGGTAGTAGCTGCAGCAGCAGCAGGAGTAGTAGTAGTGGTGGTAGTAGTAGTAGTAGTAGTAGCACTAGTAACAGTAGTGGTAGTGGTAGTGCTGGTAGTGGTGGTAGTCGTAGTAGTAGTAGCTGCAGCAGCAGTAGTAGTAGTGGCAGCAGCAGCAGCAGGAGTAGTAGTAGTAGTAGCTGCAGCAGCAGCAGCAGGAGTAGTAGTAGTAGCAGCAGCAGGAGTGTAGTAGTAGCAGTAGTAGCAGCTGCAGCAGCAGCAGCAGGAGTAGTAGTAGTAGCAGCAGCAGCAGCAGGAGTGTAGTAGTAGTAGTAGTAGTAGTAGTAGTAGTAGTAGTAGTAGTAGTGGTAGTCGTAGTGGTAGCAGTAGTAGTAGTAGTAGTCGTAGTAGTAGTAGTAGTAGTAGTAGTAGCTGCAGCAGCAGCAGCAGGAGCAGTAGTAGTAGTAGCGGCAGCAGCAGCAGGAGTGTAGTAGTAGTAGTAGTAGTAGTAGTAGTAGTAGTAGTAGTAGTAGTAGTAGTAGTGGTAGTGGTAGTAGTAGTAGTAGTAGTAGCTGCAGCAGCAGCAGGAGTAGTAGTAGCAGCAGCGGCAGCAGGAGTGTAGTAGTAGTAGTAGCAGCAGCAGCAGTAGTAGTAGCAGCAGCAGCAGTAATAGTAGTAGTGGTAGTAGTAGTAGTAGTAGCACTAGTAACAGTAGTGGTAGTGGTAGTGCTGGTAGTGGTGGTAGTCGTAGTAGTAGTAGTAGCAGCAGCAGCAGGAGTAGTAGTAGTAGTAGTAGCAGCAGCAGCAGGAGTGTAGTAGTAGTAGCAGTAGTAGCAGCAGCAGCAGCAGTAGTAGTAGCAGCAGCAGCAGGAGTAGTAGTAGTAGTAGTAGTAGTAGTACTAGTACTAGTACTAGTAGTAGCTGCAGCACCAGCAGCAGCAGCAGCAGGAGTAGTAGTAGTAGTAGTAGTAGTAGCGGCAGCAGCAGCAGCAGGAGTGTAGTAGGAGTAGTAGTAGTAGTAGTAGTAGTATTGGTAGTAGTAGCAGTAGTAGTAGTAGTAGGTAGTAGTAGTAGGTAGTAGTAGTAGGTAGTAGTAGTAGTAGTAGTAGTAGTAGTAGTAGTAGTAGTAGTAGTAATAGTAGTAGTAGTGGTAGTAGTAGTAGTAG